TAAGGGGGCTGTTTTCAGTAAAGCCCCGAATGTTTTTATTTCCTTGCATTGTACACACCATCACTGAGAGAATTTAATTAATTAAATGCAGGGGCGGTTTCTTCATTGGGGCGATTGGGCGACGCACCACCAAAGTGTGAATCACATTCACTATCTCATTCAACCAGAGAGTTACGCTAGCTGAAAATCGCCCAGAGTGTTCCCATAGACTTACATTCAAAGATGTTTTTTTTTCGAACTGCAGGCACTGCAACGCATTCTCTATGGGTTCCGGGAGGGCTCGCACTAACGTGCTTACATCATCATACGTATCCTTAACTTGTGCAGCGATTGGTGGAAACAAACATACACTATTAAAAATCTTTAATATTAATTAAGTGACAAATAATATTTTAAAACAATTTTGAATTCAAACAGCAACAATAAAAAATGAAACACTACTTTTTTATCTTTATCAAATTGATTTTTAAAAAAAAGCGAGAGCGAGAGAGACTGTTGGGACATCTCGCGAGTTGTGGCTAGTTACAGACAGTTGACCTTGAACTATGGCGTTATTTTTTAGTCAAAAGTTACGAGCGCGTAAGACATGCTCACGAGCACATTATGTTATTTCACGGGCGCGAAAATGAACCTTCAGCTGGCACGAGAAAAGTAATCGCGCACAAATTCAACAACCGAGAGGTGTACCGGTAGCTGCGAGCGAGCGCCTGGCATACTCTCATAGGTTAACTCTGCTTGTACAATGGAATCCTGCTCGCGCGCAGCGGGCTTTTGCTCGCAAAGTTAGGGTGACCACCTGCTAATAAGCCCAAGGGGGGACAAGGGGTATGTTTCCGAGGGACAATGTGGGACACTGATGGGCGCGGCGGTGCCCCCACCCCATGGGCAGACTCTTATAGTGGTTTACCCATATCTATGTTACTAATTGCCTATTTGCCTTACTGTTTGTACATGAATAATTAAAAAAAAAAAAAAAAAAAAAAAAAACATACCTTAGCACATACATTACTACATGTGTAATTGCTGATATGCTCATGAATAGGCCAACCAATGTGAATTTTTTTCTAAATAAAATTAATATTTTGAACATTAAATGAATTGACAGATGCACTTCCACTTACGATTTACTTTAGCTATTTAATTTTATTAATTTTTCATTACAATTAATTCACTTTAAATAAATAAAAATATAAAATTATAGGATTAACAGGAATTATAGTTGCTCAACACCACAGGAACAGTTTTTAAAAAAGTCGAAAAAAAAGTCTAAACTCACAACTCCAGAGGTTCACAGAACGACAAGGTGCGCTGTCATGACAACAATGAAAAAGTTGACATCAACCTAGTCAGCAGCTCACGTGGGAGTGGCAACCAGTGTTGGGGAAGTTCTCACTTTCTGAACTAGTTCAAAGTTCAGTTCACACATTTTAAAACGAACTAGTTCAGTTCAAAGTTTGCACAGAAATGTAAAATTTTTCCCATCTTCACCGACCTCGTTATAAAATCCGTTTAAATTATCATATGACGCCTTTGTCGACGGCGGCCGCGGTGCGACACTGGTGGCTTGTGTTGCCAGATTGTGTGTTTTTTCGCAACATATTAAGCCCTGTTTACGGTGAGTTTTAGCCGTGTTTTCGCCTGGAAATCTGGCACCCCATTGAACGAAGTTAAACTGAGAGAGCGTGCGTTCACAGACACCAGAATGAACGAGTTCACACGTTAATCAGGACAGGCAGTAAAACAATACGTTTAGTTCACCCAAAATATGAACGAGTTCATGAACGTGAACGAGTTCAGGCACAACGTTTGGCTGCCTGGGTCTCGAGGATATAGATAGACTGACCGACTTTTTTTTTTTTTTTTTTTTTGAGCAAGCATTGATTATGCGTGACACGGTCTCAATTTGCGGGACGCATGAATTGGGCTTCAAACGCTGTGCGCGCACGCGCTACGCGGGACGGGTGGCTACGCGAAGTGCTGTTTTGCTCGCGTAGTGGATTTCTGCTCCCTCAGCTGATTTCTGCTCCCTCTCGTCTACATGACTTTTGACAGTTTGGGGGCGGGACCTATGGGAGGGCACTGGCCCTCTTATGATTGGTCGCCTTTCATCGTCATCACAACCACAGAGACATCCTTCTACCTTGATTGACAGCTCTCATTACAGGAAGCACGGGCACGAGTTGGGCTAAGTTACCACCAAAGAAGAGTGGTAAGTGAATGAATTAGAATGAGGTTTTAATATACATAAAATGTCTCTAGTTAAATCAGTTACCATAGATGTATATATTTGCGAACGATGACGCCTACGTTTTGTTTAGTAACATTAACGTTACATATGAGTAATAAGTAATGTAACTTAGCTAAGTTAGCATATTCGTTCTGTAGCTAATGCCTCAGCCAATACTTGTGATGCTGATCCCCCGACACACTCATTTTAAAACGTTCTTAGACAACTAGAATCATAACATAATTGTTTTCACATGTAACGTTAAATGTGCTATTCTTATTGAGGCTGAGTTAATGCATTTGATTTTGCAGGCTAACATCCAATGCAGTAAAATACTGTTTTGAATGTTGATTAACTTAGCCACACATGTTCACATTGTCCCTTGTTGTATTTTTGTGTGGATCCCAGCTCATCTTGCCATTTATAATTAGATGTAAATGAAAATGGCGGACGCCAAATAGGAGGTAAACTATTTTCAAAAATAGTTTATTACGTTAAAGTAGTTCAATTTGTGGTGCTGTTTGTTTCAGTTACATTTCTTTATTTCTCCCCATTCCTCTAGGAAGATTTGCGCAATATGGCCCTCGATTTGGTGGCCAGGATGAGAGCTACATTGAGCAATCCTAAACCAAACGGTATGTATCATGACTCAGTAACTATCGTTACTAGGTTGCGTTGCCATCTCTAGACAACGTGTGGTTTGATTATGTTGGTTTCCCCGTATACATATAACAATATATAAATACTCAACTTCATAAACAACTTCAACAACATTCGTCATGGAAGTGTTGCTGTCATCATCATACAGCTCACCTATGGGCTATATGCACGCACAAGTTCCACATTTGACGCAAGGATGCTCTTCAGTTTCCGGTTGGGGAGATTAAAATGGTGGAAAATCGAGGAAAACGGGATTATGGCAGAGTCTTCAAAATGTACTGTCCTCCCATCTTTGAAACGAAACTTTCATACGTTTAGATGTAATTTTATATAGTTATGTTTATTTAATATAATTTAAAAAGAAGCATAAACACAACGAGGGGTGTCTGTTTTATCTGTTTTCGTGAGTAACGTTTCTTTACTATAACCATGGAGTATAAAATTCAATATAAATTCTCGGTATTGCATTGGACTCTACGATCGGCGGAAGATATCGAGCATCCTTAAACCTTCACCGGAAATACCGCTGTGCATAGAGCCCATTCATTCAGCTTATAAAACAACTGAAGTTATATGTTGTCAGTGAATTAATTATGTTGAATGAACAATGAAGTTCAGGGACAGTGCAATGCACAATCAGGCTCCAGGCAGGACACACCCCAGCAACCACGAAGGGAAAATGCGGTGCGTGGACCGGCACAGACTGCGATTCAAAAGGATATGACCAGGTTGGGATGTTGTTCAAAGGATGCATCTCAGCTGTTAACAGCCCTCTTCAGTCCCTCACACAGTTGTTTGATTGCTGATTCAAATTAATTCGAATTTCATCTACTACTCTTTCTACAGGTGTTTCCCTGGACTATTTAAAGATAAGCAGAAGTGTAGGCCTCCTACACGATCGTCGAAAAAAAGGTCAGGTACCAAAACAACGCCAGTCCAATTCTTTCTTCTGGACAGCCCAACAGAGAGAACCCCCAAACCATCTGATGAGCTAATGCTTTTACAAGCTGGGTTAGGAAGAAGGACTGTAAATGTTCCAGAGGATGCTTGCCATAATGAGGTATGTGGTATGACGCTTATAACGAAGTAAGAACTGAAATAAATTATAAATGTATCCTATACTATTACTAAAACAGCATATCCAGTGAAAACAGTAGCCCCAATCCTAACCACCAAAACCATATCATTTATTTTTGGAATGCTGCCAATAACCCTAATGAACAGATTTGTCTTGAGCTCATTGATTTGATAAATATTTGCTAAATATTTACACACATTCATTCTGAGACATATCCAAAGATGTCAGAACTGGAGGGTGCCTGGATGCTGCACAAAGCCATGGGTAAAAAGCAAGAGATTGAAGTTTTTTCTCCAAGCAAAGGAAATTTATTGAATCTTTTTGTTTGTTATAAAGTTCTCATGTTTGAAAAGCATGATCCTTCCAGTAAGGGGCAAAAAATAAATATTTGTTTAATATTTGAACTTAAACAGGAGGATCAGGTCAACGAAAACTCAACTTGTTGACACCCGAAGAGGAAGGATACACAGGGGCGAGCCTTGTGAAGAGCTGGGGAGGCAAGGGATGTCTCTACATTATGCCCATCCAGAACACACTGGACATTTCTCCCCTACCCTTCACAGCTCTGGAGTTCCAGGCCATGCCGAAAGCCCGGTGTGTGTCATGCCAAGAGTATGTGCCTCTGCAGCTCCTCGGTCTCCATGTCAAGACATGCATCCAGTCTAAAGTCAAGGTTGAGGTATAGCTTGCTAATTTGAATCTATAAATTTGATGTTCTTTCTCCTTATTCGATGTACAGGTTGGTCATTGTGTCATTTCTTAAATTTCACTATTGGATGGTGGGACCATGTTAGCAGTGCCCCTGTCAGCTTAACCCAAAATTGTTTCTGGCACTGTTGTTTTTAGCTATTACTTTTTTGGAAGTCATCAAGTCTTGATATTTAATTTTATAGCCCCATTGTGATGATGACATCATCGAATTGGATGACGAAGTGGTAAGCTATCAATACAAATGAAGAGATTATACATTTCATATTATTGAGCCATACATTTATGAGTTTCATTTATGAGATCTGGTGATGTGCAGGCATCACATTCGGAGAGTAAGGTGAGCAAATTGCTTCTATTTCTTCTTAAGATTTAGGTTTTAAGAATTAACCAGTGAAATGTTTTACATGATCTTTTCTCATCAAAGAGCATGTTTACATCTGACATCTTAAAGAGTACATCTGCATTTTTTTATGTATATTTAACACTGCTATTTTTTATTTTCATAGGTTTCTTGTCCATTGTGCAGTCAACTATTTTTATTAGACGTTTTGCTATTGTTGTGTAGCGTATCAGACATTCTGATGTCACTTGAAAAGAAAGTTGACACATCCCAGTCATTCAACATCAATGTGACAAGGGAGGACCTGTTTGAAAGGGGGCTGAAACAGTGGGCCAGGCAAAAACAGGCCTCCCCAAAGAATCTCCTCAGGGTCTCCTTCATTGGAGAAAATGGAATAGACCAAGGCGCTCTTCGTAAAGAGGAGTTCCTTACTGGTATGTGTGCCCCACTAAGGTCAACACACATGATTAAAGCACATTTAAGAGATTATCAATGTGAATAATATCTTATACATGTCTAATATATTTGACAAAAGCAGCTCTTTGTTCTTTACAGAAATGGTGTGTGGAATTGAAGCACGTTTTTTTGAAGGAGATGGGGAAAGGGGCAAAACCCCTAAATACAGTATTTGTGACTACCAGGACAACAGTTTCAAGTAGGTGCCACAGTCTGTCTTGTAAAATATATGAGTTTGTATTGTTTAATTAGGTAGTAGAAGTCCACTGCCATTTTGTTGGAAATAGCTTTTGTCTTTGTCACAAAAGGACTTGTGGGGAGATTTTTGCCACAAGTTTGGTGCAGGGGGGTCCTCCACCAAACTTCCTTACAAAATGGTGCTACCATTTCTTGTGCCATGGGGAGATGGACAAAGATTTGGGTGTACTCGAAGTCACTGATCAGGATATTAAAAATCTGATGACAGAGGTATTTAAATGTTTAATGCATACATTTTTCCAAGTCAGACATATAGTTATCAGACAATGTTTGCAAATATCAAGTTGTGTCTCTACTTTCAGGTGGAAAATGCAGAAGGTGGAGAAAAGCTGATAGATTTATCAGATGCGATTGTGGCATGTGGCTACACTGGGCCAATAAATGTTGACCAAAAAAAGGCCATCACAGAGTAAGTTAACATAAACACAACACATAAATATTTCTCACAAAATGCTTTAGTGTTAACAATTTAACTCTGAATCAATACACTAATATTTTCTTACTGTTTATTAGTGCCATCGCTTTGCATGGACTGGTGAGGCTGATCCCGATCTTGAATCAGCTGCGTGAGGGATTGAGGCTCTACGGATTAGATGAGGTGTTAGCACAGCACACCCAGATGTGCCAGCAGCTCTTTGTCCCCGGCCACTTACAGGAAGTCAGTAACATTGTGAATGAACTATTAGAACAGGCACTGTTAGACACTGATGACTTGCTCTTATGGCATATTCTGAATTTTTACTTTAAAGCTGCCTTCAAATGCGTGTTCAAAGAGCTAAACGCTTCAGGCCAAAACATAAACTGAATCTTTAATTTAAATCTGCAATCCTTACTGTTTTACCGTATTTAAGCATTTGATTTGCTTCCTTATTTTAGGTGAATGTAGACTTCCTTCTGCTTGCGCTATCTCCTGATTTCAGTGAGGAAGGATCTGTGAGACGACAGCGAGAGATGCGGATCATCAATTTTCTGCAGGATTTCTTGCAAAAGTTGGAAGACAGAGGTAACACAGTGCTGAGCACCTTTTTCTATAATCCTTGTCCATCACTCTTACCATAATATCATTTTGGAACACTTGTTTTCCACCGGTTTCATTTTATTCTATTTTTATTAGTTATTCCCTCTTTAGGTTTATGTATGTGTATTCTGTCAAACCCCCGCCATTAATATGACGAATGCATTTGTACGAACAGAAATGTTGTAAATTAATTATTTGTATTTGTCTTTGAGAAGAAGCAGACAGCCAAGAAGAGGGCAGCCCTGAAGGTCAAAGTCACGTGGCACAAAGTCACTTCCTTCAGTGGGTCACAGGTCAGGCACATGTTCCACTGATCGAATCCAAGAGAGAGGCATTCAAGATAACTGTTAATTTTGATCATGAATGCGACTCCCGCTATGGGACACATAGCCTTTGTTATCCCATTGTCAATGCTTGTGCTGTTGCCATTACTTTTCCTACACGCCACTTAGCCACATACCAAGATTTTGAAAACAACCTAACCGAGGCAATCTGTGGTGGTTACGAGTTCAGCAGACACTAAAGTAGCATTTAAGGTCCTTGTTACTTATTTTAGTTACTTGGTAAGTAATTTGTTACCCTTTTTGTGCTTTGTTTCTACCGTGTACAAACAAGTGTAAAAAAAAAGTTGTTCTATTGTTAAAAAGAAATCTAAAGATTTAACTGTGGTTGTTGTTAGCTTTTCTGTGCTTTGTTTGTATTTTATACTGTGTACAAACAAGTATACAACAAAGTTGTTCTATTGTTAAAAAGAATAAATCTAAGGATTTAACTGTGGTTGTATATTTTATTTACATCACTTTCTGATCACAAAAACAAACATTAAACACCTGACAAAGCCTGAAGCACATATTCATGACATACGAGGTAAAGGTCTCTAGTGTCAGTGTCTCCGTTTTCTTCAATCAGCACCTGAAGCTCTACTAGCTGCTGTTCATTCAGTGGACACTCAAATTCAGGGACTACTATCACACCATCCACATCTTCTCCATAGTCAGCTGCAACATCCCAGTCAATATCCGGCTCTTCAATATCTTGACATACGAACAAGACAGAAAAATACCGCTATCATTAGTCATCCCATGTTTAGCATCTAATGTAATCTGTTCATCCCAATTGTTTGGCTTTTCAACATTAGCTGAAGATAAATATTCAGGGTTTGTATAACTATGCAACAAATTGATTTGATCAGGTGCTTAAATATTCGTATGGGTGTTAAACAGTACAAGTGTACCTAATGAAGAGGTTACTGAATTCATATGAACTGTATTACCAACGTTTGCATCAATTGTGACTGTTTCACCAGCTGAAGATGTGTTACACTGTTTAGAGCCCGGTGGGCCATTTCAAGGTAACATTAACAGCTTATTTTGGATATAAAAATGTACTGTTACAACTTAGTTGTTTTAAAAGGAAAAAAAAATACCTCAAGATTCTCTGGCTGGTCAATCGGTCGAAGCATCATTCCTGTGTGCCAAATTTGCTCAGGAGTTTTATTCCCTTCTGTTCTCAGTGGGTGGTTGTTCCAACCTTCCACAAAAGCCTCCAGGTCTGCCTTCAGTTTAGGAAGGAATGTCAGGTGGACTGTCAAAAGATCTTCTACAAAGGGACAGGGTCGGAGTATGTCACTTTCACATATGAGCTTTGAAAACATAACATTAATCATTGAATTGCCTTTTGTAAATACATCTCATTGATTTGTTTTTTTTCCCCCAGCATTAAACCATTTCTAAAATTCCACAATGATAGGATTAAAAAAAAAAAATAATAAATCAACAACAGAAGATGGACAACAACAAACCTTACAAACATGCACAAATCAAATAATAATAGAACAGACACAGGAAACATTTAACTGACCAAGATGTACAACAATCTACAGAAAGTAGATGATAAATAGCACAAAATGATGAGACAAACCCTTACCTCTGGAGGACACATCAAGAAGGTGATCCTTCTCTAGGCTGTGGAGTGCGTTGTAATATTTTGATATCACACATGTTCTGACATCCCGCCACAAACGTTCAATCCTACGGATTTAGAAATTATTATTTTAACAATCAAGGGAATGATAAAATGTTATTATGTTATGATTTTACACACAATATACCTCTTTATTAGTTTGGTAAAAGTATCCAAAATACAAAAAAGTGAAAACCTTTGATTATGGACACTTTTTCCTGACATGAAGCTTCCTCGATCAGTTCCACGGACAGTGAACATATATCGGGCTATTTCAACATTCTCCACTCCCTGAAGTGCACACACACAGATGACCAGTGTGTTAAAATCTGTCAGAGATGTACAATACACAGAAATAAAGTGCTACATTGTGTCATTTAAAATTATAATCCTTGAGAACCCTGAGTTTACAGTAAAATCTTTCTTAAAATATAACATCTATCATGTTTGTTACTGTACCTTGAAGCCTGTAAAAACTTACCTTGAAGGTATTCCATGCCTCTCAGTAGCTTTTTTGAAGGCAGTGAATGCGGTTGATGCACGATTGTTTGTTGCAGCATTCAAGCACATCACCTGTTATGAGAAATTTTCATAAATGTACATTTTCTATTTGTCCATATCTTAAATGTACAGTTGGATTACACTCTGGTCCCTTCATGCCTCAGGGAATCTGATAATTTAACATTTTAAATAGATAAATAATAAATAATTTAATTTAACTCTTACTACCATGCGGCATCCTATATTATAACTTTTTCTCCCACGTCAACAAGGTAGTATTTCAGCCATCTGAATGCAAACATGTAATTATTTGGTGTACATCATAGCAATTTTTAAGAAGGCCAACACATCAGAAGGCCAACACATGAAAAGACCCAATGAAATGAAATCTTACCTTCCTGGAGTAGCCGTCCACTGCACCAAAAAGTACAATGTTGTACCTGATGGGAACAAAATAAAGAACCACATTACCAGTTTCAACCTGGATTTTTATTGTAGAAATGTCATGGCAACATAATTATGCTTTGAGATCTATCAGTGTCTGCATCATTATATTTCACAAAATAAATAAATAATGAATAAACTGTACTGTACAGTACTGACCTGATAAGTTTGTGGTTAGTGTCGACATGCCACAGTGAAAGGGGCCCCCTGACAGAGTAAGTTCTTCGCACAATGCAGCCCAGTCCAGTCAGTCTAGAAAGAATCCCAAGCGAGTCCACTCGATGCATTGATGCAGTAACTCTCCTCCACTGGACGTGGATTCCCATGGACTTTAGCCTCCCTTTGACCATCCGATAGCCTGCTGTGGGCATTTCATTTTTGATGCGTTGGACTGCATTATCAAGCTCCTGGTCAGTAGCATTGCTGTAGTTCTGTCTGGCAGAGAGACCAAACTCCCTCATCCGTCTGTTAACTGTACTGGCTGAAACGCACAGTAACTTTGCAATGCAGTTCACAGACAGATTTATCTCCAAAAGCTCAACAAGTCTCTCCTTCTCTAAATTGTACCTGGGACGCCCCATCTCTCCAGCTACAGTTTCAACAGTACTGCTGGTAACTTCAGCTAGTTGTGACGTGTAGTTAAATTGGATTATACTAACATAAACGGCCACTAGTTCAACTAAAACACACTTGCCATGAGAGGTTTGGGAACCACTGGCCATACTTTACGTTTTGTTTTACACATGCAGAACTGACTAAATGTTATAGTTAACGTTACGTTAGTTTGATGAGAGACAGCTTAGCCCCTGCTGAGTTTGCTTAAAACTAGCTAGTTAAGGTTGATTAGCTTATGTCAGCCTATATGTTCCAAACAAATTTCAGATTAAATTGCTACATTGTCAAACACATAGCTCCCATCATATATCAATATCACTTACGCCTACAGCTTCAGGTGTCGCCGCCATTCCGTCCACTTTGCAGTGTGTTACTGAACTCCGTCTTCCGTAAGATACATTTAAAGGCCAATTTATACTTCTGCGTCGAGGGTACGCCGTAGTGTACGGCGTTGGCTTCGCACGTAGGCGACGCCGTCGTGAGCATTTATACTTCTGCGTTCAGGTATTGGTTGCTCTGCAGTATTGCTCCGAAACGCTAGTTGGCGGCGGAGGGTTTTATGTTCCACTGTGTTTAGATTCCTCGCGGCTAGGTTACTACAAGCAATAGCGACTGAAAGAGCGTGGATCATGTTGGAGTTGGAGCTTATTGGGGTGGAAAAACAGTTCATTTTAGTGAAATTACTAAAACTGAAAGGCAGAAATGACAGAAGACGTCGGAGGAGATGGTACGTGTGGAAATGCGTGAGAAGGTACGTGCGGAAATGCGTAGGAGGAAATACGACGCTACCAAGCTATGGCGCTCGCTTTGTGTCATTCGATTCCTAGCCATATGGCGTTCCGATAGGCTCTTTAATATAACTTTGCAACATGCACTCGTCTCAATGAACGTCTCACTCAACGTCTTATTTTTTTTTTTATTCTGCTATTTATTTCTATTCAACTTGAGACGCAGACGTGACGCTGACGTGACGCTGACGTCACGCAAATCACGCGTGGCAGTGAAGTGTCGAGTCAGACGTCACGCGTCATTTACGTGTGGCAGTGATGTTATTTATTGTTACACGTATTTAACACGCTATCCACAGTACAGCACGGCTCAGTGAAGCGAGTGTATCGCGCGTTCTGATCGGCTCTTTAATATGACTTTGTAACATGCACTCGCCTCAATGAACGTGACACTTGCGTCTGTGATAGGACTTGTGTTCATGTTTTTCTATCCTAATGGGGACTTCAACCAGACTGAATAAAAAAATTCTTGATTAAATAGTGGTCCACACACAAACCCCTGGTCTAATCTGCATTAAACCACTTTAAACGTTCTTTTAATGATTTTCTATGGGAGTAAAATGCTTAATAACGTGTAATTAAACGAGTTGCGTTCAAATTTATTTATTACTTTATTGTGATTCACCATAATAATTTATAAATGCATGCAAAATTATCTGTGTACTTGATAAATGTTGCAGATATTACAAAAGAATGCCTTTCAACTTGTTTGTAAACTTCAGAATTAAATGAATGTTTAGCCATTTCTAATAGCTAAAAAAAAGAGTCTTAGAACGTTTAAAGTGGTTTAATGCAGATTAGACCAGGGGTTTGTGTGTGGACCACTATTTAATCAAGAATTTTTTTTTATTCAGTCTGGTTGAAGTCCCCATTAGGATAGAAAAACATGAACACAAGTCCTATCACAGACGCAGACGTGACGTTATAAGACAGACGCAAGTGTCACGTTCATTGAGGCGAGTGCATGTTACAAAGTCATATTAAAGAGCCGATCAGAACGCGCGATACACTCGCTTCACTGAGCCGTGCTGTACTGTGGATAGCGTGTTAAATACGTGTAACAATAAATAACATCACTGCCACACGTAAATGACGCGTGACGTCTGACTCGACACTTCACTGCCACGCGTGATTTGCGTGACGTCAGCGTCACGTCAGCGTCACGTCTGCGTCTCAAGTTGAATAGAAATAAATAGCAGAATAAAAAAAAAAATAAGACGTTGAGTGAGACGTTCATTGAGACGAGTGCATGTTGCAAAGTTATATTAAAGAGCCTATCGGAACGCCATATATTAAAGAGCCTATCGGAACGCCATATAGCCAAGCTTAAAGACGTGTTAACGTGCGTGTGGAGAACGTCTGTACGTTTTAACGACTGCCTATCTGGACGTCTGCCCGTCTTAACGACTGCACGTCTTAACGTCTGGAGCTAGGCTATCTCCATTCAGATTTTTTTTTATTA